ATTCTTCAAGAACTTAGTAAAATAATTTCAAAAATCAAACAAGTAGATCCCATCAAACATCTATCTAATAATATTTTGTCGCAAGAAAGAAAAGCTCTGGAGCTGAAAGAAATGAAAGATATTATAATTATAAAAGCCGAAAAAGGAAGCAGTTTGATTGTGATGGACATTTTGATTGTGATTAAAGAAATAAGCTTGTCAATCAAGATCATCTATCTTTACCAATTACTTATGAAAAAATAAACTCAAATTCTTATAGACAAGTTTTCAAAATAAAATTTAAAATGTTTAATAAACATAAATACTTAACACAAAATGAGATAGACTACATTATAAAATTTGTATGGAAATTAAGCAGTTTTTATGTAATTTCCAAAATTCCCAAATGTAAAGAAATAATCAAAAAAGTCCATGAATCTAATATCTTATATATATCTATATCTGTACCAGACTATGCATGTCTTTTGATAGAATTTTTAGAAGAAACTATACTTTTTCTAAAAATTTCACCTACTTTAGATATGCTGATGATGGTTTTAACATATGGCCTAAATGTCTAGAAAATTTTAAATTGTTAATTGCTAATAAGTCAATTACCTGCACAATTGCCATTTATTAATTACTATGGTATTTATTATTTATTAACCCTGACCCTAACCCTAACCATGATAGATTATGGAAAAACAAAATATTAATAAGGTAATTAATTTTTTAGACATAAATGAATGCAATTAACTATGGCTGAAAGAATGCACCGGACAATGTTTTATGGCTGAAAGAATGCAATTACTCGGAAAAACTTTTCATAATGCAAAACTGCAAGAAACAGCTCAACAAAAGAACTATAAAGAAATCTTTCCTTTATTCATTAGATTTTATAGTAATCTAAACTGCCAGCCTAACTAAAACTAATCTTCTATTCAGTCTATCCTCGAGTGAAAGAATACAACAATTTTTTCTAATATCAATCCTGTAATAGCTTACAAACAAACACCAAATTTACTGAGACAACTTATTTCTGCTAAATTTAATACTGTAACATCTAACAATAAAAAGATAGGGATATTTAACTGTAATGATAGTCATTGCAAGATTTGTCTATTTTACCTGCAAGAGGTAAATTATTTTGTAACACCTAATGGTACTATATGAAACATTAATAGTCAAATTACTTGTAACGACAAGAATGTAATTTATTATTTAAAATGTTTAAGGTGTAATGGTCAATCAACATACACTGAAAACACAAATAATTTCAGAAACCTTACAAATGGTCATATTTCAAGTTGCAGAACCGGTCATTCAACAGGCAGATTTGAAATACCATGTGTATGGTTACTAATGTATAAATAATAAAAGAAAAGAGCGGTTTTTCCAGCTTTTTGCTTTTCTGTACTTAAAAGTGATAAAAATTTATTGTCTTATGAAAGTACAGCCTAAACACAAACATGATACATTTAATTAATACTTCCTGTTTTAAAAAAACATTAGCCAATGATAACTAATAAGCAACAATACCTTAATTGATTAAAAATTATATTTTTGTTTCACAAATTTTTTTTTTTTTTGTGCATAACAGCACTTAAACTACTGATGAAACATTAAAAAGCTTCTAGTGCTAAATATATTTTGTAATATTTTTTGACTTTTCAGAAATAAAAACTTTTTTTGAAGCTGTTATTTTGCTTGACATACATTTTTCATTTTGTGCGCGCGCGTGTGTGTATATATATATATATATATATATAAATATATATATATATATATATATATATATATACATATATATATATATATATATATATATATATATATATATATATATACATATACATATATGTATATATCATAGCCATATCGTATCATGCCATCTGCATGAATGAGTATAGATACATCAGGGGCATACATACAGCAACGGAGGAGTTAGATTTTAAAAACATTTAACTCTCTTTTTTTTTTCTTCTGTTAACTTCTAACTAAACTAACAAAAGTTGATTAAATTTGTTGCAACCTTGTTGATGAAAATTAATTTGTTGAAAAAAACAAGCAACTTGTAAAAAATATCAGGAACTAGATGAAATTTGAGAATTTACATCATAAAACTAGGTGAAATAGTTAATCAAGAGCTATATGAAACATATGGAATTATACAAAAAATCAGGGTTCATACTTGATAAAAAAAATATTTAATTTGAATTGTAATTTGACTTTTATTTTTCTGATTACCTTAATGAGTTTAATGATAAAATAATAACTTTGATAATAAGAACTAAAATTTTGAAATAATTTTATTTATTAATATATAGTTTTTATTGTTTCCTAATTACAAACAACAAAAAAATATAAATTGTTAAAAAATTATAAAATAAAAATAAATATGCAAAATAAAACAAAAAAAAACAGAAAAACAATATTGACAAAAACAAACCTCAGGTCTAGTAAATTTTATTTGTTTTGGACAATTATCATCCATGAAAGAAATAGCTGTTTCAAGAAAATTCTAAAGACAAAATTATTACTATGTCAGTGCTGGAAATAATTATTTAAAGGTTGCGAATCAGCAATGATTGGCTAAAACTAAAAATATTTAAAATTAGACAATCAATTTTTTTTTCAGATAATCAAATTTAATTTTTGCAACTTTTGCATTACACATTTTGAGTTTGTGCAATATTTTATAGGGTTATATTGTTATAAAGTCTGATAATTCACAAAAAAAAAGCTGATTAAAAAAAATATATATTCAAGAAGTTTAATAAAATATAAATTTTTATATTTTACTTGTAAATCTCAATGAATCTTATCACTTATCCGTACAGTTGTTTTAGCATATTACTATAAATTTTCCAAAACAAATGATAGTTTTCTGACAACCTTCTAAAAAAAGTAAAGTTTTAGTTTTTTCTAGAAAAAATTAAATCTTTACTTTTAACTAGAACATCTGCTAAGAAAGAAAATAAATTTTTATTTTACTTTGCTGTTTGTTTAAATACTGATTTCTAATTAAAAGCTTCACTTTTTTATTGCAAGTCTTTACTTATAGTCCCTCTATACGATAAAAAAAATTTAATTAATTTTTTAAATTGTAGAAACATTTTTTTTCAAAAAGTTGCAAAAAAAAAATATTTTTAAAAAATAATGTAGTCTTTTTAAAATAGTAATTTTTATTCCTTTCATTCTCTGATTAGTAAGTCCAGTTTAAAAAAAAAAAATTGAAACAATTCTTTTTCAAAATAGAATCAAAAAAAAATCATTCCATTGGAATGAGAAGATTCAATTTAACTTTTTTATACCATAAAGTTTAAAAAAACAATTTTTAAAAGATTTTTACAAAGATATAAAAAATAGTTTCAAATGTTTAAACTAAAAAATACATGCCTACTAAAAAGAATACTGAAAAGAAATTTAAATATAAGATTTAATTTACACAAAGTGTAAAACTTTTGTTTTAGAAATTACTTTTTGTCAAAGAAATTTTAATCTGTTGTAACAATAAAGCAACATTTTTAGTCTGATTGTTGAAGTTTATTTTCCTTCTTTTATTAACTTGCGTCATTCTGTTTAAATTAGAACGCTGGTTATTGTTTTTTATAAAGAACAAATGAAAGTTTTAAAGTCCTAACTGCTAATAATTAGCAAATGTTTTTACAAAATTAAATTAGAAAAATTTCTTATGTTAAAACATTATCAAACGTTTTTAATTAAATAATAAACTTTTTTTTATTTAATTTCGTTAAAATGTTTGTTAAAAAAGTTTAGTTTAAATAGTATAATAAAAATTTTAACATAAAAACAAAGTTTTGTTATAAGCTCTATATTAGTAAACATTCCATTTTTATATTATAATAAATAATTAAAATATAATGATACATTTTTATTTTAAAGATTAACTTTAAAAAACTTTGATTGGAAGCTATTTTATCTTTCTATTATCATTCATTCAAAGTTTAATTCTCTCTTGTGAGTGCGCAATAAAAATACAAAGATGTTTAAAACGCTACACAGTGAACCGTTTCATACAATCTAGCTGGAAAAAAATATTTTGTTCACGAACTCCATTGTTCTAGTTATGAAAGGTTGTAATAAACAATATTTTGTTGTTTTATTGAATAATTACCTTGGTTTTAATAACTTAAAAGTTTTTTTTTGCGCAGGATAGAGGGAAAAACCCTTGCCTACAACCCCCCCCCCCCCATTCCTAACAACCACTGTTAAAATAAAAAAATCATTTTTAAAGCCACAAATATAACATTTTTGTGTAGAGCGCGTATCAGTTAAAACATTGTATACTTTTTCGTCAGTCATTGTAAGTAACAGATTGTGTTTCACAATAATTTAAATTTACCAACATTACACAGTGTTGGAAGAGGATATTTCTCTTAAAAACTTTGTCAGTTTCTATTACAGTAAATTTGTATTTTTCTTTTGATGATATGAATTTAAGTGTTGATGATGGCCGAGGATTTTGCCAAATAATAGTATGAGAGTCATCACTCAATCTCAACGAGACGAAAGCAAACACAAACAAAAAATCATCATTAGCATCAGAATTCTTAAACCTTTGTTTATAGGTATTGTGGCCAGAAAACCCGTCACATCCCCATTTGCTTATTAATGTAAGCAAACACAAACAAAAAATCATCATTAGCATCAGAATTCTTAAACCTTTGTTTATAGGTATTGTGGCCAGAAAACCCGTCACATCCCCATTTGCTTATTAATGTAAGCAACAAATTAGAGGATGCATTTTTGGGAAATTGACTTAGTGCTTCAATTAAACGTTCAGTTGTTTTGTTCAATATGGCTTGAAGTTTAATTTCAGCTCGTGTTTCTGAAATAGAAATAAATTCTTCTGGAGGGTAACACAACTATTTGGATTTTCATAAATTTAAGCAAGACTATAACACTTCATGGCCTGCCTTTATTGACGACTTTCTTGTTTGTTTTATAAGAGTGACTAGTACACTTAGAATCTAGATAATAAGCAAACGCCACATTGCTACTCAACTGTCTGATAATACAAATAACAACTGATTTTTTTCGCTCTAATTAAAAAATTTAAACAATTTAAAATGTATTCTACAAAAAGAGTGCTCAATGTTCTTAAAAGAACAGAGCAATTACAAATTAGTAGATTTTGTTGTTTTAATTACAAATTAGTAGATTTAAAGTTTGTTGAAATAAGAATTAACCAAACGAACTAAACTTTAATTTTTTATGCATATAACGAAAAAGCTTATAAAATAGCATATCCACAGAAAGTGATGTAAATCTAAAGCGTAAAAGTGTTTTTTAATTTTTCGCACGTCCCCTGACTGTAGCTATTGTTCAAAGTTAAAAAAATTTTAAATTTAACACAAAAGAAAATTATTTGAATATATTATAAGCAACATATTAAACGTATTTTGGATCAAAAGAGACACTCGCTCAAAGATTCAACGCAGCATGTATAATTTGCATTCCTAAAAATAGACAAAATGAAACGAAGTGAAAGATTGTCTTTATTTCTGCACAATCTATAAAGCTCCTCCATTACTTTAATTGCTCTTTCAGCACATTGATTACTTCTGGGAAAGTTGATTGCTGATGTTTCTGGATACCAATGACTTGTAAATGTAGCAAGAGGTTTCTTTTTGTTTAATAAAACTTCATGAAGGTCTGAATAAGTGTTTTCTTTATAGGTTTGGCCGTCAAACCAAAAGTCTGCCCACTTGTAAGAAATAAAGGTACATACAGATTCAAGTTTGTTGCTTGTTTTTGGCATAAAAATGTAGGCTAACAACGCTAAAATAGGTCTTGAACTCCACCGAGCATTACTGATATTAAGGATTTTTTGAAATCTTACATTAGGAAATATTTTATTTTGGTCATAGTATCGGTAGGTTCTCGTCAGATGAAACAGAAACTTCATGTCATCTCGCCATCCTCCTGTGTCTTTTATTTTTTCTGTACCATTATAAAAATTTGTCTTCAGTGTTTCATAATGTTCTAACAACTCGTTAGTAAAAAAGTAATTAATGTTTGGTCAGTTCGGATTTTCTCCCAATTTTTCTTCTATTTCTAGTCTAAGTATTCTAACCAAGATATGATGTTGACATGGTACAAATTGAGGTTTTTGTGATCCTTTTTTTTGAAAAATGTCCTGAAGTTTTACAACAACACCATTTTTCTTTCTGGTATTGACATTTGTAGTATCTGTCACAATCATTTTAATTGAATTCCATAGTTTAAATTCATCTATAATATCAGCTATGGCATTAACAATAGTGATAGATTTTCCATCTATTAACTTCAGTGCGCCCAACCTTATTTCGCTTCTTTCATTTTTAAGAACGACAACCTGATACTCCCATTGGTCTATATGCTTTCCATCGAAGTGTAGACTCCAATTCTCATTCTTTAAATCTTGAATTAAAGTTTCTTTAAATTGTTTTGCTTCATTAAAAAGAGCCTTGTATATTCCAGACTGTGATGGCGCTGAAACATGTATGCCTTCTGAGGACAGTATTTTACCTATTTTAGAAGCTTTCTTAGTTGATACCTTAGCACAAACCACTAACTTTGTTGCTATTTTACAACTACTATATTTTTTACGTCTTTTCTTCAAATTATTATATTCTTCATCTGTAATTTCATTATCTATCTCAAATTGTTCATCAGTTTCTTCAAATTTGGAACTAGAGTTGTCTCTTTCTATTTTACTACTTTCAGTAAATGAAGAAAAACTTTTAGATGCTGAAGGTTGGCTAGAAAGTTTTTGCACAATTGATGGATGAATAGTCTTCTTTCCTGCCAGCTTTGAAGTAGCATATCCAATTTCTCCTTTGAGTTGTAACTAAATTTCATAAAATCTGTTATCTTCAGATGATAAACAAATGCCATTTTGATTTGTTATATCAAAAATCTCTTTTTGCAGAAGGTCAGCATTCCCTTTTTTTCTGAGACTTTCATATTTTTCTATAACATCATTAATCTTTCGCTTCACTGACTGCTCTGTCAGACATGGGAAATTTAATTGTTCTTTCCACAAACTTATAACTCCTTCTGAAATAAGATCAATCCTTTGCTTTTTGGCTTTCACATCAGTACTAGACAAATACTTAAACCTGCTAACAATATCACTTTTTAATGGCATTTTGGAATATTCTTGAAAAGATGTTTCTAACATTGGAAACTGTCTACTTTTATGCGAATCTTGAAATTTCACAAGATTTTTTTTTTTAAGTCTCTTTATTATTTTCAACACTTGATTGGCAGTATTTGGGTGCCATTTTAATTAAAAGCAGCACAAAAAAATCTGAAACTAATTAGTAAACAATTACTAGAAATTATAAAGTGGTAATGCATACGTCTGGTATGTATTTAAAATTATATATATAATATATATTAACCGTCTATATATATTTTATTATATATAATATAATAATATAATATAATAATATATATATAGAGGGTTATGACTTCTTTAACTTATGTTTTCTGGCCCATATGTAATATGTA